CAGGCACGACGCATGTTTTAGATAGACTTCAGATACGTTAGCTTCCAGAGTGGATTTGACATAGGCGACTACTCCATCAGATTGATTTAGATGTTTAAATGTTTGCAAAGAATTATATCCTATTATCTGAGGGATGTGTTTATCAGGGTTCAATTTGCATTCACTAAGGATGATAAGATCAGAGTTGAGGTCAAGGGCGGATACGTTTACTTGAAAGTCATCAAAGTTGGCATATATACCTCTAATATTTTGGGATATTATCGTAAAGTCTGTCTTTTGTACTGTGATAATATTCTTCAGATTTCAAATTTTACATTCAAAGTTAGAAAACGTGCCAGAATTATCTATTGCATTAATGTTATTGAGAACGTGATTCATGTTTTGTTTTAAGAATTCTTAATTCGTTAGCAGTATGTGGTAAAATATATATATATATATATATATATATATATATATATATATATATATATATATATATATATTAATATTATCAGTATTAGTGGTACAGATTTCAGTATTGTATATGGGCGGAGACAATGAGTGCAAAAGTGTGTAGTAACTTTTTTTACATTGTGTGTGTTTTTTTTGTTTAAAAAAGTGTTTCTTTGTGAATGTGTAATGATTGAGATATTTGAAGTTGCTGTGTAGTAAATAAATACAATTATTTTGCGTGAATGATGTTTGTGTAGGAGCAGATACTAAAATAAAATAACTTACAAGAGATGAAGACGATAACAGCCAGATGATTTTTGACTCTAGTCATTTCAACTGCAATAAGTTTTGCACCTGTTGTTCACTTCTAACTAAGATTACTGGTGTGTTTTCACTTTTTCTAACATAGACCCGGCCATGGGCGGTCCAGCAGAATTTGTACTCCTTCGATTTTACCAGGTCTCGTGCGAGGAAGTGGAATCGGGCACATTTGGCGGTCAACTGTTCGGAGATGTATATAGGCGTGTACTCGTTTTTGGTGTATCCCAAGTGCATCGCACAGAGTATCTCTTTGTGCCTTATATTGAATGTCTTGGTGGATCTTAAGAAGTCTTTCTTTAACATAGTGGACGATAATTCTACAACAATTGGGCTATTGCTTTCACCTTTCTTATTTTTAACTCTGTAGATATCTCTTATATCTGCCTTCGTAATGGAATGGCCTACATTCTCCGATAGCTTCATTACCATATTTAACAATTCTTTCTCACTTTCATTGGCGACTTTCGGAGCATTTTTAATTTGTATATTTGATTTTCTATTTTCTCTCTGCAGGTCCTCAACTTTTTCTTCCAAAAAAGTTATGTATTCCCTATCTTTCTTGGCTTGAAGCTCGAATCCGTCTAACTTCTTTATATTCGTATATGATAGATAATATTGATAAAAATCAGTCATCAGTACTAGCGACACTACACCGGCAGCATCGCTTTGCTGACACTTTAAAGCTCTCAAAAAAAAACTTTCTCAATTTTACTTATATTCTGAAGCTCCATTTTTATACATGTTAGCCAGACAACTATTTTAAAATGTTTTACAAGAAGGCAGACCGATCCAAGGGGTCAATCATCCCCTAGACCCAATTTTAATGCACCTGTGGGTATGAGCGCGAGGGGCATTATCCGCGTGAGTGAGACATGTATTTAGTATTATATTGACCTCTCTCTCTCTCTCTCTATTACAGTTTACTCTTATCAATGAATTATTAACAGTTAAAAAAATCTGGTAAATAATTAAAGAATTTTTTTTAAAGTGCTCGCCTGACCACAATAATTCGAGTCTCGTGGCCCTGAGATCTTGCTATAACTCTGTGCTTCTAACTATAGAAGAACTTCATCGACGACGCATCTCTTCTTTTCTTCCAGTCAAATTATTATAACCCACCGTTATTTTATATAATTTCATTATCATCATCATCATCATCATTACAACCTATCAAAAGCCACTGCTCAACATAGGCCTCCTTCATAGATTGCCTCATTGGCGGGATATTTGCACACAAAATCAAGTTAGCTGGCGTAGTCAACTCTACTTGACTTTCCAATTTATGCCAAATTCTAGTTGGTGTTCAGTCGAGGCATGCTGGCCTCTCCAATACTTCGAGTTCGACATTCTTAAGAAACGTATTATACGTGGTAGAGCCATGCAGCACCTATATTATAGTTGTAGCACGAATGGGTCGGCTCGACCGGGGAAGGAGCACGCTCTCACAGAATACCAGCGTAAAATAGCAGCTTAATGCTGGTGTGTTTCGTATGGTGAGTGTAGATAACCGGAGACCCTTTTTACTGGAAACGAGGCATTCAATCTTAGTCCTCACGGGTGACAACGCATCTGCATTTTGATTCGCAAACGAGAATAGATGTAGATGTCTATGGGCCACGGCAACCACTTACCATTAGGTGGACTGTGTGCTCGTTTGTCACCTTTATCCTATAAAAAAAAACGAAACTTTAGTTATTTTAGATCTGTGTCACGTGACGGTAAGACATGACAAATACCCCAGTAGCTTGTTATTCCGAAAGACCCAGAAAAAGGCAAAATCCACGCCTCGAATAGTCAGTCCTAATGACAGTCCTCCAGAAAAATTAGCTGCACAATAAGGTTTGTCACTATCATCATCATTACAGCCCTGCACAAGTCCTCTGCTGAATATATAGGCCTCCCCCAAGGAAAGCCATAAAGCACGGTCCTGCACCACCTGCATCCATCGACTTCCTGCACGTCTTAGGTTTGTAAATAAAACAAATTCATTAAACCAATTTTTTATCTATACCATCATTGTATTTTCTTATTGCTAGCCAGAGCACATAAAAGAAAATCTAAGAAATTACGCCGTTAAGATACGACTGAGTGTGAGTAAATTACATTGTATTGTAATAGTTTCTGGTATTTTTGGGACATACAAAATAAGTAAACCTTATTCATTAATATTATTAAATATTTATTGCCATTACGACTTGTTAATTCTTTTTCTATTAGAAAAATAAAAGAATTTGATCATCATCTGCACACATAATATTATGTTAATATACAATAATTGATAACCATAAGTCGCCTTACAAACTCATTTATGATTTTAAAGCAAGAACTACATTTTTCAGTGTGCACTTCGTAATTGTTTACAGTATTGTATCGAGTGGTGCGCTATGTATAAAAGTAAAATACAAATCAACAAATGCTCTATAGCTAGGCACAGGCTTCTTTGAGGACCATTGAACAGCTATAAAAAGTGCACGCTGCTCCAGTACAAATTGGCGGACTTCACATATTTCCAATTTCTTGAATATCAGTTCAGACCAACAAAGAAAGATAGAGGGAGCGCTGCGTACGTTTTGTGTAACGCTGAAACCATGTTCAACTTCATGATACGCACTATGTTTCTTTTTTCTTTAACAGCCCATTAAAACCGCACATAACTCATTAAAATGCACACATATACACCTAAAACCGTGTTGTTGGTTGCAAATGCTTTTAGATTAATTTAACAGCGTCTTCTAAATTGAGGGTGGTTTTAGCTAGATTTCGGTGTCACGTCAAATGTACGCACCGCTCCGTCTATCTCTCTTTGATGGCTTGACATCAGAGAGACGTGATAATTGTTTTCCTAGGCCGCATTCAATTTGTAAATACGCACTTATAATTATGATTAACAATTTGGTGCCGGTTGAGATAGCACTCTTAACTTCCCGCGTGTATGGAATTTAACTTGACACCGCATGGTGGAGGTGTAGGGGAATACGTGAGGCCATTTCGTCCCGTGAGATCTATGGGAAACACCCGAAAGGTCTTATGATTTCCGATAGATAGCGACATAACTTCTTCCCATCAGGTAAAATACCAATACCGGCTAAGGAGGTGAGGGGGCAGCAGCATCAAAAGGCGTCTCGTATTGTAATCGTAAACCCGCCTGCCAAGCGTGACCATTAAACTGCATCCAGGCCCATGCCTAGCAGTGGACTTTTACGGAGCCACCACTATCCTACTCCGCATCCTCAACTACCACTGCTGGTTGCTGTGTATGCTACTAGCGAAAATAGTAATAAAATATTGTTGTTACCGTATATAGTCCGTCTTGTGTCAATTTACAACCTTTTCCATTAACGTCATTATTACAGCCCTTCACAATGCCACTGCTGAACTTAGGCATTTCCCAAGTAATGCCACAAAGCACTATTTTTAGCATCGGCACCCATCGAATTCCTGCATATCCAAGTCGTAACTCCATCTAGTGGAAGCCGCCCTACACACCACAAAAATGAATGTAACTCATTCTTCAACTTACGATCATTTGATTTAAAAAAAATATGACTTTTAAAGTAGTATACTTAATAACAACAAGTCCTCAAGAACGTTTACTTTGATATGGTAACGCTTTTAACAATGTTTTACGAAACGTTTCTCGAATACGAAAACCGGGCCGGACATAAGAAGGAATATTAATTTCCAGTAATATTTTTATAGGTTAGATTTTGCTACATTAAGACGTAGCTTACCTAAGCTTGGATGAATTCTTTTAAAGCACTTAAAATTAAGTACCATTCGAGTAATACTGGTAAAAAAACTTTTAAAGGAAAATCTATTAATTAATTGGTCAAATAAACATCTTATTTGTATATTTTTAAAACAACTGAAAAAGTTGTATCATATGGTGTTGTCATGGTGGTTCATCCATAACAAGAGAACAAGAGAAACTGACATAGTCCAATGGATCAGCAAGCTGAAGTTGGCAGCAATGAGCCAGTCATATAGCTCGAAGGACCAACAACCGATGGGGACGAAAGGATTCCGGATCCTACCCCTCACTAGATGAAGTGACGAAAGCCTGATGAAATTTGCAATCTATGGGGGTGGCCTGTGTTCAGCAATTGTTTTGTGATGGACTGTAATAAATAAGATGAAGAATGATGTTGTCAACTAACACCTACCCAGTTATGCCTGCTTCTTATAATTTTGGGAATAATCCGTAGTCTCGTATTTCGCAGCATCTATTTTTATTCTTAAATTAATGATTATTTCTTCAGTAGCATATTTCTAAAATCGGCATTACTGAGTGGTTTCTTCTCGTCCCCATTTGTATGGCTTCCGTTAGTTTCACTTGACTTACTCGTAGATGGTTTCTGTAATACGCTAGGTATAAAACTGCTTAGCTGCGTTCGTCGCCTGTTGAAGAAGACGAAATTATATTAATGATGTGAAACATATCATTTTTAATGGATAAGGTAAAAAGCAACTATGGGATGTCTAATATAGATTTTTTTTGTAAACTTACGAGACAACGAAATAATGCGGGTCAAATAAATTATTACGTATGTATATGTGAGAGTATAATCGCAAACAAATTTCAAAAGATTGTCACGGAGGGGGATACTTGCCGTAATAGGTACGCTTGACAGGCGGGTTACCAAACGCAGTTATTTATTATTTTAAATTATTATCAGGAAGATGCTGCTGCCCATCTCCCGTTTCATTTCTCTCTGTCACCTCGGTGGATTTGTTTTTCACTTGAAATTTATACAAAATTTTACTGACGCGTTTGTAATTAGAATGTTATTAAAGACTTTTTGACTCGTTTGTTATTTGAATAAGACCCTTATTGACTTTTTGTCACGACGTTGTTTGAAACTGAAGTGAAAAGTCCACCTAATGGTAAGTAACTAATGCATATTGCAGTCACGTCCAAATAAAAATAGATAGAGATGTCGTGTTACATCTGGGGATTTAGACAGAGTGTCACATATCCTGAAATTATACTGGCTTCCTATAGACCCTTCAGATCAAAACACAGCAACGCAAGCGTTACTATTTGGCGACAGGAGTAAGTAAGAGGGTGGTATCTATTCAGACGGACTTTACCTAAGAGTCTCACTAAAGTCCTAGAGTAGAGGAGTGCTACCATCTAGTACATTAGATATTAAAAAACAACCAAGTTTTCTGAACAAGTAGTGGCGGTATAAGAATATCTACTATCCCAAATCGTCCCGTGGGTTTGACAGAGGAAAACAAACCAGGAGATAAACGCCTTCCTAATTACATTAAAAAGTTAAAAATCGCGGTCGTCAACCCGCCTGCCAAACCGGGCAATTATGGCAAATATCCCCCTATTATGGGGGAGGCCTACGTTCACCAGTGGGCTTTTGATATGCTGTAACGGTAACGGTAAAATTTTTGAAAGCGACAACTTCCTATATTGAATGGCTTTTAGAGCTCCTTTCTCCATTGCATGCATATTTATTCAGCACGAAGTAACCGTGTAACACTGGGTGGTGAAATAGCTACTTTATTTGAAACGTTTTGGTTTATTATCAGGAAATAAAGGATGTAAATATAAAGGTAGACGAAAAAATCTAATACAATAAAACGCTCTTCATATTATCGAAAAATATAATTTTTTATCTAATCATGCCAGATTTTCAGCTATGAGTTCTTGATATATAAGCTTTCAAATGGTTCTACTTTCATCTTGTGAACATCTGGGCCCAAGACTGTATGGAAACGTCTTCTTCTCCTTTAATGTCTAAACTAAATAATAATTTTAATCTAAAATTAAGTCAATTTATTAAAAAAAATATTATATTAACATCTTATCACTCACGTATTGAGCGAAAAGGAGCTCAGCATAAAGGTGCCATTTCAATTGTCAATGTTTAATATAAATTATATATTATATATAATATTGTAAATTGTATCACGAAATAATTGTCCTGTTACCAAACGATAAAAGTGTTGGATGATTTCGATAAATGAGTCAAAGTGAAAAGTGCAGTATTTTATTTGATAGTATAGAGAGCATAGTGAATTGAGTAGTTGAGAATGTATTTACGTTGACACGATATTTAGTCCCAGCTTAATAGGCACGGGTAATACCAGTGTTGCTCTATATCAAATCATAGCTATAAATTGGGTTTGAATATCTGATATTGAATCTTTATTATTTCAAAATCAATACTTCGGTTGATACGTAAGAATAAATATCTAAGTGATTCTGTAACTTTGTAAGGAAGTCAATAAAGTAAGTAAGCGCGCTTTTTATAGAATAAGAGGGTGGTAATAAAACCACATACAATGAGTAAAAATTTGGCATTAAATATATCTATTATTAAAGCTTATTTTACGTACATTACAATAGTTTTTGTTTCAATACATGCAGTAATACCGAAGTGACTAAGAGAGGTTGGGAGCGGTTTTTCAAAATCCCGTGATTTCGCACGCTCGTGGTGTGACGTCATCTCTCGCATATCTTACTGCTCAGCTGTTCATCTACATTCGCAACGGTCGAATACGCTTGTTTTCCCGCAATTTTTTTCTATCTAATTCAAAAAATATGTGAGAGTTGTTTGTTGTAGGGGTTTAATTTTAACAATTTATCATGGAAGTCGGCTACGAAAAAAGTCAATCTGACAATATACCTAAGGTGAATGGTTTTGTGGTAGCTCAATATTTCTTGAAAAATAGTGAATATGGCAGCAAGGTAAACATTAATTTACCTATGAAATAGTAGAAGGTTAGTTAGGAGTTTTACATATCATGTCGTACCTGTCCCGTGTAGTGGTGGGCAAAAATACCCACTACCCCATATCTTTCCGTGGGTGTCGTAAGAGGTGACAGAGGGAAACTGGGGCAGAAGATGGTGAACAGCATCTTTCTGATAACAGCAAAATAACAATAAAAAATGCGGTTGCCAACCCGTTCGACAAGATGGCAACTGTGGCATTATATTCCTCATGATAGTTACGAAGAGACGGCTCCCAGCGGCCTCGCTTTTCCTGATACGTTGGCGAACATGGTAACGGCGGGACGGGGGGTGTAAAGAATCTCCGGTGGAGGTTCAGATGCCACCTAAGACGACTCGATCTGGCAACATATGAGAAAATGCAGGAGCTGGAAGAAGAGTTAGGCAAATTACGCTGACATATTATAGGAGTATCCGAGGTCCGGGGAGGGGGAGGACACGGTAATCCTCGAATCCGGCAACTTGTTCTATCACCGAGAGGGCGACCATCTGTCCCAAGGAGGTGTCAGAATTATCGTCCACAAGTCTCTCGTTAACAACATTGTCAAAATTGGGAGTGTCGACGAGGGTTGCGTACCATAAACTCAGAATCACCAAACGGTATTCACTGAAGGTCACACAGGTTTACGCAACAACCTCAACACAACCCGATGAGGAGGTGGAGGAAATTTATGAGGATATATCTAGAGCATTACAACAAAACTCACTATACGGAGTTTTTAACCCAAAACTAAACACAAGAGAGAACGTAAGCTGAAGGTAGCAAAATTCGGAATAGGGCAACGGAACCCAAGGGACCAGCAGCTGGCCGACTTCATGGAGAAAGAGGGGCTCTTTATGATGAACCCTTTCTTACAGAAGCGTCCCCTCAGGAAGTGAACCTAGACGAGCCCCGACGGTACGACAAAAAATGAGATTGACTTCATTATGACGAATAGACAACAACTGTTCAGTAATGTCTCAGTGATCGCGAGGGTCAAAACCGGCAGCGATCACCGAATTGTTAGAGGCACAGTGAACCCAAACGTTAAGTTGGAGAGGTCTCGTCTAATGAAGTCAACGCTCCGTCCCCCTCGTGCTCTAATACAAATTATCGAAAACTTTCAGCTCGAGTTACAAAACCGTTTTCAGTGCCTAGAAGACTGCAATGAAGTGGACGATTTGAATGACAAGCTCGTGGAAACTGTCCATGCGGTCGAAGCTAAGTTCTGCAAGACCCACCGCATAAAAACACAAAAACTCTCTGATCACACTCTCAATCTCGTGGCTGTTAGACGGGATATGAAGCTGCAGTCTCCAGCAGATTTGACAGCGTACAGGCAACTGAACAGGCAGATCTCCAAATGCATGCGGCAAGACTTACGCAACTTCAATACAGCTCGTATTGAAGAAGCGATCAAGCGGAACCAAAGCTCCAAAATCTTTGCCAGAGATCTGTCTGTCAGAAAGAGCCAGCTGTCGAAGCTGAATACCAAGTGTGGCAGCATTGTTTCCGAGGCATCTGAGATTGAGAAGTTCTATGGGCAGCTGTACACGTCATCGTTGAAGCCACACGCAAGTGTGAGTAACGATCCAAGAGCAAATCTTATCCGACATTATTCCAGTGATATTCCGGACGTCAGTCTGAGCAAGATTGGAATGGCTCTCCAGCAGCTTACAAACGGCAAATTTCCCGGGCTAGGATGGTATTACAGCAGAGCTTATGAAAGCGGGTGGAAAACCGGTACTTGATGTCCTTCAGAAGCTCTTTAATTTCATCCTCCTTGCACCGCACTTCTGCTCCACACCGGAGGCGTGGAGCAGAAGTGCGGTGGTCTTTTTCTTCAAAAAAGGCGACAACGCTCTCTTGAAGAACTACAGACCGATTTTCTTTATGAGCCGCGTCTGTTTGCTGAATGACTCTCGAAAACGTGCTGTTATCGAGAGTCATTACAAATCGTAACGCACGCAGACTCGACGACTTTCAGCCTCCCGAACAAGCCAGTTTGAAAAGACTTTAGTACCATAGACCACAAACATACACTTCGGACAAATTGAACAGAAGACCGAGGAGTACAATTTGCCTCTATGTCTGGCGTATGTGGACTATGAGAAAGCCCTTGATTCCGTCAAAATACAGGCGATGCAGCAGTCCCTCCAGCGGTGCCAAGTTTACTGTCGGTAGATCGAAGTGCTGAAGTATTTGTACAGTAGGGCTACGATGGCTATCCGAGTACAGAACCAGAGTACGAAACCTATCTAACTGCAGTAAGGTGTAAAACAGGGTGATGTTATATCCCCGAAACTCTTCACCGCTGCATTGGAAGACTTCAAGCTACTGGACAGGAGAGAATACGGTATCAATGGCGAGTATTTTTTTTATAGGAGAGGGGGCAAACGAGCATGCGACTCACATGATGGTAAGTGACTACCGCCGCCCATGAACAACCGCAACACCAGGGGAACCAGGGGAATTGCAGATGTGTTGCCGGCCTTTTAAAAAGGAGTAGGCTCTTTTCTTGAAGGTCCCTAAGTCGTATCGGTCCGGAAAAATCGCTGGTGGTAAACTATTCCACAAGGAAGTTGTGCGAGGAAGAAAACATCTTCTAAATCGGCACAGTGGTGGACCGCCAATCATACCGATGATGTGAATGGTATTGGGAGTTCTGCC